TGGTGGATATATATATATATATATATATATATATATATATATATATATATATATATATATATATATATATATATATATATATATATATATATATATATGACTTTTAGCGTAGTTTCGTTCATGAAATTGAAATAAGAATTTTATTGACGTCATATCATTTCAGAATTAATTGAGTGACTGTATAAAACCAGAAATTAAAATTGAGTCAATTTTTGTTTCAATGAAAACTGAATACTGCAAATTCAGTGGAAATAATTCTATATTTACTTTAAAAAGCTACTTTTGCTATATGACAATGAATGTATGTACAGTAGTACTCACTAAGTTTTCTTGGTGGTAAGCCTTATTTTTGCCTAGGAATTCATCCGGTTAAGTATTACTCACTGTTGTTTCGTTTTAATGAGTAGGAGAGTCAGTTTAATAACAACTTGTAAGGCATATATTTTCATCGTAGTTCTCACAGATGATAACGCATCTGTGACCATTTTTTGTATGAAGTTGGTAGGTGATAGTCCTATAAGCTGTAAATTAGCACAGGCATTTTGTTAAATCATTGGTCATACTAGTCTCGTCATTGTCTGGTGATATTTTGAAAAATGACGAAAATATTAGAAAAAAATAGAAAGGGATATAAAGAATCGGACATCTATAACTTGAACTGAGATCCATGCGACTTTATTTTTAAAAGTGATCTAAAACTCAGTGGCATCATTTCAACGGTCTTAAGTACACTCAAACCATTCGAAATTCTTTTGAAGTAGCAATTACAGACTACGCCAAAGTAAAGTTTCCAAATAGCAAGTACTTTCAAGCTTGTATTTGACGAATAAATCTGACCAAAATAAACTACACCACTACACTTACTAAAGCGCCTAAGTTCGCAACTGTATTTCTTATCATCTATCTGCCTACAATTATTATTTAATTTTAAAATATAAATTAATGAAGTGATGCCTTTACTTAAACATGTGTATTAAATAATTTATGGTGTATTATGCACATGAAGAAATCTGCTTTGATCTTTAAGTTATAGTGTATTATAACTTAAAGATCAAAGCATATTCTTTCATTGGTAATACACCATCAAATCTCGACGCTGATATTCAAAATAAAAATTCACTATAAAATTTTGTGATATTTATTTCTTTGCACTTACGTGATTTTTTGTAGTGAACTGCAAACTCAAAAGCACTTTAAGAATACCTTTAGCTGGTGCAGAAAAACATGCAGAAAAACTCTTATGATTGCCGTTTTCAATTATATAATAATTATAAAATTATAATATCTTACGCAAATCAAGGTTTCTTAGAGATGTCGATAATTACATTCATTAAAGAATTCAATTTCAGACTGCGGTAACCACCTGCCATTAGGTGGAATGAGTTGGTTTCTCACTTGTTTTATATATAAAAAACGATATTACATATTGGTCCTTAGTGACACTCTTATGAATAGATTTCTTAAAACTGTAGAACTATAGAATATATATATATATATATATATATATATATATATATATATTTGTTTCTTTGGATTCTTGTTTATCTATAAAATGGCTATATTTATAACGTAAACTCTAAGAAATATGTATATATCTATATTTATAACAGAACTGGTAAAAAACAAACAAATATTAAAGAATGCATCATATTATCTAACAATACTTAAATGTTTTGTCTTCTCTACTTTGTATTACATACTATAAAATCTTTATAAAAGCTTGTATCAGAGCGAAATGAAGTTACATGACCCGTAAAATTAAAAGTTCTTTAGAAAAAGCTACTTGGAATTACATTAATTTTGAAACTAGCACTAAAAAGAGACGATTTTAGTATTTTTATCAAGCTTATTAAAACAAAAACAATTAATTAGCTTGGCTCAGAATTTCAGAGCTCGTCCTCAATTTCATAATTTGCCAACAAACACAATAATTATTAATCTATTTTGTTAATTTATAAAGAAAAACTAGCTTTATTTCATTATTTTACGCAGAAGTAGAGCTTTTTGTGTCGGTTGTTGAGATTTTAGTATTAATGAAGCTTGTCGAGAGCAAAACTAAAAAAAAATTAAGTTTAGGCTATGACAAAAACTTCGAAAAAGAAATTATTGCTGTAAATGAAAAATCAAGTTTTCTCTCTTCCAAATTTAAAACCAAATTTTCACAATTATTTCTTCTGCGGCATGAACACGCCAGGTACCGGCTAGTTGTTTATAAATAAATAAAATTGACCAACAACGCGCGTGGTCGATTTGAACTTTCTGACATTAATGTTTGTGCTAATATAGTGCGTAACGAAAAACTCGTGAAGTCTTATGATTTAGTATTCGTATGTATAAGCGTATATCCATCGCATGGCCATACATCTCGAACTTGTTTCGAAGCTTTCCACTTATGCATTTTTAGCAGCCTGCGATGATTTAAGTTCCGTCGAAGATTATGTACGGACTTACTCGTACGAGTATATTCGAACTGAATGTAACAATTATCTTAAAGTACGCGTTTTTACGTAGTGATGTTGGTCAAAGTATTGTTATCAGTGATTGTTGCATAGTTTCTATTATGAATCATTAAAGTTATTTATTTTTGTTTCACATTATTCATTTTCTTTAATTATCAAATAGAAATAAGATTATTAGTCATTGTATTGTCATAATTATTATCATAGATAATTACGTTGTGGAGCAACGCTGTAGCTATTATAATATGGTTGTAGCTCAAATAGGTCAGTCGACGAGGATTGGACCACGCTCCCACAGAACACCAGCGTAAAATATCGACTTAACACTGTTGCGTTTCAAAACGCAACGGCTCAAAATTAGTTAGTCTGTGGCATAACTGCCGATGTTAAGTTTGGTTCAAGATGTCAGTCCTAAGAAAACAAAACAATTACAATTAAAAACAAACGTTAAAGTGAAGACCTACCGGCATTGACTTTTGTTAATTGTTAAGTGGCGAAGCTTGCGAAGTCACTTATTGATTTCACGATGTCTGTCCGTCTGTCCGTGTGTCCGTCTGTCCCACGATTATATCGAGAACGGTTTCGAATTTTCAAATTCTGTTTTCAGCAATCGATTACTGATTACCCAGGCATCTGAACCTCCTATTTTGAAACTGATTGCTCAACGGCAACCGTTAGAAACCGCTACAAAGCTGATTGCTTCGCCACTTTGCTATGCTGTTAGCTTGCTAGGTTTATTACTATTTGATAAGACATGTTAACAAACAAGTGAGATCAAGAGAAAAAAAATCAAAAGAATATTTTTTTATAGGATAAGGGTAACAAACGAGCACACAGCCCACCTGATGGTAAGTGGGAGATGTGGCCCATAGACATCTACATCTATCTTCGATTACGAATCGAAATGCAGATGCTTTGTCACTCGTGAGGACTAAGATGAAATGCCTCGTTTCCAGTAAAAAAGGTCTCCGGGTCTCTACACTCACCATACGAAACACATCAGCGTTAAGCTGCTATTTTACTCTGGTATTTTGTGCGTGCTAAAAAATAAATAAATAAATCATTGTTAACTTGGAAAGATAAATACAATAAAGTTACACAAAAAACATACGACTTTTGAAAAAAAATAAGTATTGTTGAGCGCCCTCTAGTAGAGCCAAGATGCCATGGAAAAACTTTAGAACTTTCTAGACCTATCGACACCTGGTCAGTCGGGACCGGTATGTACTCGAACATTCTAGATGTTACTACAGTAGAAGGTTCTGGAAATTATCTGAGGCCCTATATAAGGCCGGTATAGATCGCGACCCAGTCAGTGTTGAGTTGGCGATACAAGCGAATACTTCGAAGCGATACAACTGCGAACTAAAGTGATCAGTAGTACAATTGTGTTTTGTTATTAGTGTGGTTTTAAGTTGTTATTAGTTTTCTGTAATTAAAGTGTCAATTTTGGTAAATAACTCGGCAGTTTTTAGTTGTCTTGAACCCCAAGCTCGTAACAGTATGTACGAAATTTTACTTCTTCGCTTAATCACTTAGAGCGTTGAATAACTTTGTCAGATCCACTTCCTCCACTGGCTGCCATCTGTACTTGGGAAGCGGCTGCTGACACTACCGGAACGGCGTCTAGCTCAGCCATACACTCCACTTGATGAAGCGTACCGTCAAGAGTTATATGGATATAACCATCTCTAATCCAGCATTTCCATATGCTAAACTTTTGCGTGACCTCCATGACACCCTGCGACGGTTTTTTATTAGGTACTCGGATATTGTGACACCTGCGCCTTTTTTAAGTTTGGTTTTTGAAAACCAAACTTGGTTACGACCAGCAAAATCCCGAAACTAAACTAATACCGGTCATGGCTTATTTTCTGATAGACGTTCAAGGCGATTACAGCTGCTAAAAGAGGTATGGGATACATGAAAAACTTTGAGTTTGTCCATTAAAATAGAGGAAACTAATATAGATGTATCCTTAGTCTTAGCCAGCAGTAATATCTTACGTCGGCGTCTCATCTCTAGACGATCAATCTCTCTTCCAAGAAATTCTACCTGTTTCTGTACTGTTTCTAGAGCGGATAAGATGATTTATTTTAAAGTTGCAAACTCGGTTGCCAGTGCTGAAGGGGTGGTTGGGGTGGTCTTCACTAAGTTCTGTTAATTCGTTCATGTGAGGGTTGAACAATTCTGACATAACTGACAGTAATACTTTAAGTGCTTTTATAGTTATTTTTCAATGGAGATAATTCAACAAAGTGGAAAGAAGAATATATAAGGAAATTAAAGCTTGTAGTTATATAATTGCTACATGTATGTAACACACGTTAATATATCCTTTTTATCTACTAAGATGGAATACCTCGTAAAGGACTGCCTTAGGGGTGACAATACATCTGCATTTTGAATCTTATTTGAGGATAAATGTAATGTAGACACATGAGTAAAGAAACCGTACTGTAGATGTCTATGGGCTACATCATTAACTTACGATCAAGAGACTGTGTCCTCGTTTTTCAATCTTTATCATCATCTGAGGCATTACAGCCGCGAGTGGGCCTTATCCTGGTCCAGCAAAGCTCTCCAGTCCGATCTGTTAGAGGTTTTCCTTCTCCAACTTTTTACTCCCAAGATCTTGATATCTTGTTCGACGCCGTCCAACCATCTGAGCTTGGGCCTGCCTCGACTTCTGCGGCCCTCCGGTCGGCCTTCTAAAAGGCGCTTGGGTACTCTGGCCTCGTCCATTCGCGACACGTGCCCTGCCCAACGCAGGCGCCCGATCTTTAAGATCTTAATTACGTTTGGCTCATCGTACATTTGGTATAGCTCGTGCTTATAACGCGTTCGCCATCTCTCATTTTCCATCACAGCTCCGAAAATGCGTCTTAGTATTTTCCGCTCAAATACCAACAAGGAGTTTTCGTCTTTTTTGCTCAGCACCCAACATTCGGAACCGTAGGTGAGTATAGGTCTTAGTAAGGTTTTGTACAAGAGAAGTTTTATGCTTCTTAAAAGAAGTTTCGAACGTAAGTAACTTAGTAGTCCGAAGTAGCACTTGTTAGCCGCCATTATTCTCCTACTTACTTCTGAAGACACATCGTTGTTATCGGTTACTAAGGATCCCAGGTATACGAAATCATTGACGCTAGCGAAGGTGTTGTTGCCAATATTAACTCCTTGTAGTAGAATTTGCTGGTCTTTTGATGCTTTCAGGTACTTAGTCTTAGCCATGTTAACTTGGAGACCAGCCTCCGCGGCTGATTTTTCAAGAGCAAGGTATGCACTCTCCATTGCAGGTAGAGATCTTCCTATCACGTCGAAGTCATCCGCATACCCTAGAATTTGAACAGATTTGTGATAGATAGTGCCTTTGGTCTCGATCTTTGAGTCGCGAATACACTTGTCGAGAGCGATGTTGAACAGTAGGCACGAGAGCGCATCCCCTTGTCTTAAGCCGTCATTGGTTCTGAAGGGCTCTGATACATTTGTTTGAACTCTAACAACGCTCTGGGAGTTTCTAAGAGTCATCTCCGTCAGGCGCACGAGCATTGTTGGGATGCCAATCTCCATCATAGCCTGGTACAGGAAACTTCTGTGCACATTGTTATAGGCAGCCTTAAAGTCTACGAAAAGGTGGTGAGTGTTCACGTTGTACTCAAACGGTTTTTCAAGGATCTGACTAAGCGAGAAGATTTGGTCTACTGTGGACCTGTTTGGACGGAACCCACACCGATACTCTCCCAAGCTGGATTCTACATATGGCTTTAGTTTATTAAAAAGCATATTGGCAAAAACTTTATAACCGGTGTTCAAGAGAGATATGCCTCGGTAATTATTGCAATCCAATATGTCGCCTTTCTTATGTAGGGGACAGATAACAGATGTATTCCAATCATCAGGCATTTTTTCATTGTTCCAAATTTGGAGCACCAGGTGGTTAAAATCTTTCTCGAAACCAGTTCCGGCATATTTTATAAGCTCGCCTTGGATATCGTCCATTCCCGGAGATTTGTTATTTTTAATGGATTGAATGGCTCGTATAGTATCTTCTATAGTGGGGTAGAAAGATTCATCAGTCTCTTGATTGTTTAGTAGAGCTTCAGGTTCTGGTACAGAAAGTGGACGAGTCTGCACTGAACCGTTAAGGAGTTCACGAAAGTATTCAGCCCATCTTTGAACGATCTCATCTTTATCATTAGCTATCCATTCTTACTTCTACACGCCGTGGTTCTGGGTTTGAATTCTTTCCGTCCCCTATTCACTTGGTTGTAGAAGTTTCTAGATTCCTTTTGTGTGTAACTAGATGCAATCTCACGTAGTTGTTGTTCTTCGTATGATCTTTTCTTTCTCTTATGTAGGTGTTTTTCTCGTCTTCGTCGCTTCTTATACTCTTCTCCACGCCCGCGAGTGTATTTATGTTGCATTAATCTGTACGCATCATTTTTCTCATTAGTGATCTTCTGACATTCATCATCAAATCAGTCGTTATGCTTCGGTTTTTCCTCAAATCCCAAAATCTCACTAGCAGCTGTAGATAAAACCCGCCAGATGCTATCAGGATCGCCAATGCTGTTGCTATTTCTTTCGCCCACTTTCATACGTTCTCTGTGAACTGTGTCCATATATTTATATTTGACATCCTGCTCTCTTTTCAGCCTTATTGTGTCAATCATTTTGTTCTTACCGTTTTGGTGTACTTGTACCGTAATATTCGTGCTCTTATTTTGCATACAACAAGATGGTGATCGGAGTCGATGTTTGCTCCTCTACGGCTTCTGACATCCAAAAGATTAGAGCAGTGTCTCCCGTCTATCAAAATATGGTCTATTTGATTTCGGGTGACGTTATCCACGGAGACCTTTTTATGGATATTCTTGTGTGGAAAGCATGTACTGCCGACGACCATTCCTAGGGAAGTTGCCAAATCAATGAGACGTGTGCCATTGTCGTTAGATGTTTCGTGTAGGCTGTGGGAGCCTATCGTTGGTTGGTATATACTTTCACTTCCTACCTTTGCATTCATATCCCCAATTATAATTTTGATGTCACCTTTGGGCGATTTAGAATACACGCTTTTCACATCGGAATACCATCTATCCTTCTCTTCTAGGTCAGTATCTTCCGTCGGAGCGTTTACATTAATGATTGTGTAATTTTGAAATTTACCTTTAAGTTTGATTTTACACATACGTTCATTAATTGGTTGGAAATCAATTACAAGATGTTTTAGGCGTTTGCTCACGACGAAACCTGTTCCAAAGGTATGATGCTTTTCATTACAACTATAATATATGGCGAAATCTGGTTTATCAATAACGCCATGTCCCAACCATCAAAGTTCCTGAACCGCTGTTATATCAGCTCTGTGATTTGCAAGTTGTTGACATAAAAGTTGAAGGCCCGCTGGTCTGTACAGTGTTCTTAAGTTCCATGTACATAAGGTAAATTCGTTAGCCATTATTGAGTAGCCTGGTCGTTGGTTTAAAATCCGGTCCGTAAGTTTTACTATTCCTTTCGTAATCGTTGGTGTTCAGACGAGTGGGTGATTAACCCCTGCGGCCTTTAGTGGGGCTGCCACTTTTGAGCTCAAGACCTAGCTCCGTTTATTTTCAAGTATCGTCCCTTCCGAATTGAAACCAGATTTGAGGCGCCGGTTGCTCGCCTTTGCCCTTTGTCCTTAGCATCTGCGCTCTAAGAAAGGGATGGTAATCGTACTTAGAGTACGTGTGCATAAGGTCCCAGGGGGTAGGACGGGGACATGGACAGATCGGACTGGTTGGTACCTGCGTACTTGTGCTCCACCATCAGAGCACTGCAGTCAGAAGACGGGCTTTTTATAGAAGTCACTAAGCTCGGATCTTAGCGACCCATACCCAATACCAACTTCACCCCCCGTTTTTCAATCTAATTCTTTAAAAATCTGTATATAAACTTACGATGCACTTTTAACCTCCACATGCTAGCTATTTCGAAGGTATTTATGCCTACTACCATAGTTAAAACTTTTAAACACCATCTTCATAATGAGTTTGGTACTTATACTGAAGCTGCGTTAAACTCAAGCCCACTATGTGCTTTGGCTTTTACCAATTCATATTTTAATCGTAGAATTTTAGAAATAAATATGTTTGTTGGACAAAAATTCTTACCGGCTCACCCTATGGAATTGGCTCATTTTCAAATATAAATTTTGATGATAATATGTTCTTTTTAGAGTAGATAATAATAATAATAATAAGGCTGAAGGGGTTCGTGGTGTGTCACGCTGTGCTCGCCCGACAGTTTCAAGAGGCTCTCGACCAGAAGTTGCTCCCGAGCCTCTTCACTACTGGCATCACTCATTTGGTTCCTAAAGATCAGGATACCACAGACCCGAGCAAATACCGCCCCATCACGTCTACCCACGATATACAAGACACTAACATCCATTTTGAGCGCGAGAATCAGTCGTCACCTGAACTCAAATCAGGTGATGTCGCGCGCTCAGAATGGATGTAGGGGCGGTGGTCGTGGAACCAAGGAACCACTCCTCATTGACGCGGTCATTGGCAAGGTGGTTAAACGCAACCGTCGGAACCTCTCCGCCACCTGGATAGACTACAAAAAGGCATTCGACTCGGTGCCTCATGCATGGCTTAAGAGGGTCCTCGAGCTGTACAAGATTGACTGTACAGTTAGAGACTTCCTCGGGCAGTGTATGGGACAGTGGAGTACGATCCTTTGTCATCTAGGCGAGCGGATGACGGCTGCGAAGAACTATATAAAGATAAGAAGGGGTATCTTCCAGGGCGATTGTTTGAGTCCAATCTGGTTCTGCCTCTCTCTGAACCCTCTCAGTACTTTACTGGAGGGCTCCGGGAGGGGATTTCAGCTTCGGAAGGGAGGTACAAAAGTGACCCACCTTTTCTATATGGATGATCTCAAGATATTCGCCTCCAGTCGCTCTCATCTTATGGAATTGCTAAACATCACTTGTATTTTAGCAATTCTATTAGAATGGAGCTGGGGACGGATAAGTGTGCGGTCCTCCATGTTGAAATGGGAAGGGTTGCTAACTCTGAGGGCATAGATTTATCTATGCCCATCAACATAAGGACCCTTTCCGAGGCTGAAACATACCGATACCTGGGTATGTCACAGAACATCGGTGTAGATGAGGCGGGTATGAAACAGTCAGTTTGCGATGTGTTTTATGCACGCTTGACCAAAGTGCTTAACAGCCTCTTGTCCGGTGTGAATAAGACGCACGCATATAACGGTTGGGTCATGCCTGTTCTCATGTATACCTTTGGCATACTTAGGTGGACTCAGACCGAACTAAACGCTCTGGACAGAAAAGTCCGCACTATAATGACGTCCCACAGGATGCATCATCCGAGATCGTCAGTAATGAGGCTGTACTTGCCGCGGAAGCATGGTGGGCGCGGCTTTTTAAGCGCGCTTACCATGCATAATCGCGAAGTGTGCAGCCTCCGTAATTACTTTCTGACGAGAGCGGATGATCCATACTATAGGGACGTTATCTCTTGTTATAAAGGACTGACCCCTCTATCCTTAGCCAACGAGCAATGGCAAGACCCAGCAGTACAGTGCATTTCCGACCGGGAGACCGTATGGAAGGAGAAGGAGCTCCACGGGAGATTCTACAAGGCTCTACTAGGCCTTTCGTAGACACAGTCGCCTCCCTCCACTGGCTACGTTTTGGTGACCTCTTTGGGGAAACCGAGGGTATTGTCTGTGCGATACAGGACCAGGTTAGTAAGACCAACAATTATCGGAGATACATCCTAAAGTATGGCACCGTGTATGGCTTGTCGCCATCCCGGTGAGTCACTTAGGCATGTCATCTCCGGTTGTTCGGCGCTTTCTAACTCTGAGTATTTGCACAGACACAACTTAGTAGCCAGGATTCTACACCAGGAGCTCGCTCTGAAATACGGTCTCGTGGACCGGAAATTGCCGTATTATAAGTACTTGCCGGAAGCCGTACTTGAAAATGACCGCGCCAGGCTGTACTGGGACCGGGCCATCATCACAGACAGGACTATTCTTGCGAATAAGCCTGATATTGTGCTGATTTATAGTATTTTTTTTTTAGGATAAGGGTAACAAACGAGCACACAGTCCACCTGATGGTAAGTGGGAGATGTGGCCCATAGACATCTACATCTATCTTCGATTACGAATCGAAATGCAGATGCTTTGTCACTCGTGAGGACTAAGATGAAATGCCTCGTTTCCAGTAAAAAAGGTCTCCGGGTCTCTACACTCACCATACGAAACACATCAGCGTTAAGCTGCTATTTTACTCTGGTATTTTGTGCGTGCTAAAAAATAAATAAATAAATCATTGTTAACTTGGAAAGATAAATACAATAAAGTTACACAAAAAACATACGACTTTTGAAAAAAAAATAAGTATTGTTGAGCGCCCTCTAGTAGAGCCAAGATGCCATGGAAAAACTTTAGAACTTTCTAGACCTATCGACACCTGGTCAGTCGGGACCGGTATGTACTCGAACATTCTAGATGTTACTACAGTAGAAGGTTCTGGAAATTATCTGAGGCCCTATATAAGGCCGGTATAGATCGCGACCCAGTCAGTGTTGAGTTGGCGATACAAGCGAATACTTCGAAGCGATACAACTGCGAACTAAAGTGATCAGTAGTACAATTGTGTTTTGTTATTAGTGTGGTTTTAAGTTGTTATTAGTTTTCTGTAATTAAAGTGTCAATTTTGGTAAATAACTCGGCAGTTTTTAGTTGTCTTGAACCCCAAGCTCGTAACAGTATGTACGAAATTTTACTTCTTCGCTTAATCACTTAGAGCGTTGAATAACTTTGTCAGATCCACTTCCTCCACTGGCTGCCATCTGTACTTGGGAAGCGGCTGCTGACACTACCGGAACGGCGTCTAGCTCAGCCATACACTCCACTTGATGAAGCGTACCGTCAAGAGTTATATGGATATAACCATCTCTAATCCAGCATTTCCATATGCTAAACTTTTGCGTGACCTCCATGACACCCTGCGACGGTTTTTTATTAGGTACTCGGATATTGTGACACCTGCGCCTTTTTTAAGTTTGGTTTTTGAAAACCAAACTTGGTTACGACCAGCAAAATCCCGAAACTAAACTAATACCGGTCATGGCTTATTTTCTGATAGACGTTCAAGGCGATTACAGCTGCTAAAAGAGGTATGGGATACATGAAAAACTTTGAGTTTGTCCATTAAAATAGAGGAAACTAATATAGATGTATCCTTAGTCTTAGCCAGCAGTAATATCTTACGTCGGCGTCTCATCTCTAGACGATCAATCTCTCTTCCAAGAAATTCTACCTGTTTCTGTACTGTTTCTAGAGCGGATAAGATGATTTATTTTAAAGTTGCAAACTCGGTTGCCAGTGCTGAAGGGGTGGTTGGGGTGGTCTTCACTAAGTTCTGTTAATTCGTTCATGTGAGGGTTGAACAATTCTGACATAACTGACAGTAATACTTTAAGTGCTTTTATAGTTATTTTTCAATGGAGATAATTCAACAAAGTGGAAAGAAGAATATATAAGGAAATTAAAGCTTGTAGTTATATAATTGCTACATGTATGTAACACACGTTAATATATCCTTTTTATCTACTAAGATGGAATACCTCGTAAAGGACTGCCTTAGGGGTGACAATACATCTGCATTTTGAATCTTATTTGAGGATAAATGTAATGTAGACACATGAGTAAAGAAACCGTACTGTAGATGTCTATGGGCTACATCATTAACTTACGATCAAGAGACTGTGTCCTCGTTTTTCAATCTTTATCATCATCTGAGGCATTACAGCCGCGAGTGGGCCTTATCCTGGTCCAGCAAAGCTCTCCAGTCCGATCTGTTAGAGGTTTTCCTTCTCCAAC